CCTGGGGCAGGTGATTCTCCCCAGTCCCGGAGCCACCCCGGCGCCTCCCTCACCCCGTCCTTCTCCCCGCAGCACCCGGAGCCGCCCCCAAGATGCCGGACCGGGACGGCTACACCAACGGCAGCGGCGGCGGCGGCGGCGGCGGGGACGAGGTGGGCGCCAACGCCGATGACATCTGCCGGGACTTCCTGCGGAACGTCTGCAAGCGTGGGAAGCGCTGCCGCTTCCGCCACCCCGACATCAGCGAGGTCACCAACCTGGGCGTGCGCAAGAACGAGTTCATCTTCTGCCACGACTTCCAGAACAAGGAGTGCGTGCGCCTCAACTGCCGCTTCATCCACGGCACCAAGGAGGACGAGGACTGCTACAAGAAGACGGGGGAGCTGCCCCCGCGCCTGCGCCAGAAGGTGGCGGCGGGGCTGGGGCTGTCGCCCGCCGACCTGCCCAACAGCAAGGAGGAGGTGCCCATCTGCAGGGACTTCCTGAAGGGCGACTGCCAGCGCGGGGCCAAGTGCAAGTTCCAGCACCTGCAGCGGGACTATGAGTACGAGGCGCGGGGGCGGGAGCAGGGGCTGGGCCCCGCCGGGCGCCGCTTCGAGCCCTTCGACGGGCTCCTCTACGACCCCGACCGCTACGACGAGCACGAGCCGGTGCTGAAGCGGCGGCGGGTGGAGGGGCTGTACGAGACCTACGAGTACAGCTTCGGCAGCCCCCGGGCCGTGGAGTACCGGCTGCTGGAGGAGGAGAACATCCTGCTGCGCAAGCGCGTGGAGGACCTCAAGAAGCAGGTGAACAACCTGCTGGCCACCAACGAGGTGCTGCTGGAGCAGAACGCGCAGTTCCGCAACCAGGCCAAGGTGATGACGCTGAGCTCCACGGCCACGGCCACCGAGCAGACTCTGGCGCCCACCGTGGGCACCGTCACCAACTACAACCACAGCATCGCGCAGACGCACACCACGCTCAGCAGCCAGGCCCTGCAGCCCCGGCCCGTCACCCAGCAGGATTTGGTGGCCCCCGCCGGCGCCCAGGCCGCCCCCCCTGCCAACGCCGCGCCCCCCATGAACCCCGAGATCGCGCCGCTGTCGGCGGCCCTGGCGCAGACCATCGCCCAGGGCATGGCCCCCCCCGTGTCCATGGCGCCCGTGGCCGTGTCGGTGGCGCCCGTGGCCGTGTCCATGGCGCAGCCCCTCGGGGGCATCACCATGAGCCACGCCACCACCCCCATGGTGACCTACCCCATCGCCTCGCAGAGCATGAGGATAACGGCCATGCCCCACTGACCCCCCGCCCCGCGGAACTGAGCCTGGGGGGCAGCGGGAGGAGGACGGACACACGGACCATCCACAGCCTGTGGACGCTTGTGGCTCCCACGGGGGCTGTGGGTGCAGGACCCCCACGTCGGTCCGGCACCTGCCGTGCGGGGAAACCTCTGTGGGGGCACGGGGGGGTTGTGGCTGCCCCCCCCGGGGAAAGGACACGGCCACCCTGCCCGGTGCCAGGGCTGAGTCCCGTGGCAGGGGTGGCACTGGGGCTGGGCTGGCCCTGTAATGTTTCCAGCTATTAAAAAAACCCCAAACCACACGGTCCCGGCGGTCGCTGTCCCGGGGCGTTTCGTAACCCCAGGAAGGGCCGGGGGACCCTCACTGCGGGGGAGATGCAGACCCAGACCCATGAACTTGGCCACGCACCTCTCCTAACCCACGCCCACTCATGAATATGGGCGTGGCCAGACTCCAAGAGCCACGCCCACTGCGGAGTGGGCGGTGCTTGGGGTTGGCGGGCGGCCAATGAGTGGTGCGGGGGGGGGCGCGGGGCGTGGCCGGGTCCTGTCCCAGGTCAGCCAATGGGTGAGGCGCGCGTGCCGTGGGCGTGGCGGTGGGGGTGGCCCGGCGCTGCCGGGAGCGCAGCGGGACCGGGACCGGGAGCGGGAGCGGAGCGGGGATGGAGCGGCGGAGCGGGAGCGGCGCGGGGCTGGCGGCTCTGGGCGCGCTGGGCCGGCGGCTGCTGTGGGCGCTGCCCGCCTACGCCGCGGGGCTGCTCGGGCTGGGCGCGGGCGCGCTCGTGCTCGCGCTCGCGCTCTACGCGGGCTGGCGGCGGCGGCGCCGCGCCCGGGAGCGCGGGATGCGCGCGGCCGAGCGCCTGCAGCGGGACGAGGAGGCGGCCGTGCGCGCCGCCGCCGCCGGGCTGGGCGCGGCCCGCGGGGAGCTGCCGGCCTGGGTAAGCCGGGCGCTCGGGGCCCTTCCCGCGCCGTTATTGCCCGCGGAGGCGGCGGCGGGAAGGGCTCGGGGTAAACCCCCCCTCTACAGGGCCGGGTGTGACCCCCGGACCCGGCACCGCGTCCTGCCCCGGGGGTGGGAACCGCATTTCCCCGGTGGGACCCCCGGACCGGGCACCGCGTCCTCCCCTGGCCCCGCTGGCGAGTCCCCCACCTGTGTCGTGCTGCGGACCCCGCTTGAGACTCCTGGGGTTCCCCGCCAGCCCCCGGATCCTCCCTCATCATCCTCCCGCATCTCTCCGGGTCGCACTGCTGGGGACACCCCCCCCTTCTGCTGCGCTGCAGACCCCGCTTGAGTTCCCCGCCGGGCGGGACTCTGGGGGTTCCCCGTCCAACCGCGGCCCCGCCACATCGAGTCGCGCTCGCAGTCCCCGCAGGGCGGGACCCCGCGCTGGGCACCGCATCCTCCCGGGCCCCGCTGCCCGGTCCCGCCTTCTGCTGCGCAGCTACCCCAGCTTGGGCTTCCCCCGGGCGGGACCCCCAGGGCCCAGCACCTCATCCATCCCGAGCCCCGCTTGCCGGGACCTCCCTTGGGCTCCGCGCCGGGCGGGACCCCCGGCGGCCTCACCGAGCCCCGCTTTGAGCTGCCGGCGGTGCGGGACCCCCGGGGCCGGTCACCTCCCGCCCCCCGCCCCACTGAGAGCCCCCGTGACCACCCCCCGCTGCCCCCGCGCGGGGACCCCCGGTCCATTCCCGCAGCGGGGTGACCCCCCCCCGGTACCGCCCGGGGCCTTCCGGCATCGCCGCGGTCGGGCCGTGACTCACCGGGCCCGGGGGGGCCGTTTCCTGCCCGTCCGCGGATGGGGCGGGTGTGGGAGGGGGGCGCGAAACCCTCCCCGTGGTGCCGGAGGGGTGGGAACCCCCTTTCTCGAGACCCCCTTTCCCCGAAACCTCCCATTTCGTGACCCCCCGGAACGGGCCTCAGCTGGGGGGGTGACAGGGCTGGGCGGGGTCCCTCCGGCAGGTTGGGGAAACTGAGGCACGGGGCTGGGAAGGGCCGTGCCCTCCTCGGCCCCCCCGGGCTCAAGTCCCCCCCGGGCTCAGGTCCCCCCCGGGCTCACGGCCCCCCCGCCCGTGTCCCGCAGGTCAGCTTCCCGGATGTGGAGCGGGCGGAATGGCTGAACAAGGTGAGGCGTCCGTCTGTCCATCCGGCCCCGCTCCCTGCCGTCTGTACAGCCCTCCCTCCGCCCTGCACATCCCTCCTGCATCCCTCCCGGCATCCCTCTAATCCCCACTCCTGCATCCCTCCCTGCATCCCTCCCTCCCTCCCTCCCTCCATCCTTCCTCCTTCCCGTAATCCTTCCCTTAATCCTTCCCTCCCTCCTGCATCCCTCTCTCCATCCCTGCACCCTTCCCCCTGTCTCTGCCTCTGATTCCCGGTGTCCATCCCTCCATCCCGTGTCCGTCCCTCTGGCTCTGGCAGGTCCTGGCCCAGGCCTGGCCCTTTTTTGGGCAGTACATGGAGAAGCTCCTTGTGGAGAACGTGGCCCCCTCCATCCGCGCCTCCAACACCCACCTGCAGACCTTCACCTTCACCAAGGTGGACATGGGTGAGAAGGTAGGTTTGGGGTTGGGGTTGGGGTTGGGGTTGGGGTGCTTCCCCTGGCCCCCCAGGCTCTCCTGCTCAGCTCTGCACCCCCCGACAGCCCCTCCGGGTCCTGGGGGTCCGGGCTCACCCCGGCACCCACAAGAAGCAGATCCTGCTGGACCTCAACATCAGGTGAGTGGTCAGAGCCACCTGTGTGGCAAATGCTCCAGGTCTCAGCCCCCTTGCTGGGGGGCCGGGGGTTGTCGTGGTGAGGACCCCCCTGTCCTGTCCCCGCAGTTACGTGGGTGACGTCCAGATCGACGTGGAGGTGAAGAAGTTCTTCTGCAAGGCAGGGGTGAAGGGGATGCAGGTGAGGGGGGTCCTGAGGGGTGGTGGGAGGGGGGTCACAGCCCTGGGGGGTGTCACATCTCAGCGTTCCCCCCCCAGCTCCACGGGATGCTGCGGATCATCCTGGAGCCACTCCTGGGGGACGTGCCCATCGTGGGGGCCCTCACCATGTTCTTCATCCGGCGCCCGGTGAGTGTGACCG